GTCCAATCCGAGACCCCGGCTCAGCCCTCGTAGGCCAGGGGACCCTCGGGCGCTGCGCTCTTCTCCCAGAGGCATCTGGCTGCGCCCACCGTGCTGGCGACTCTGCAGAGGCGCCCCAAGCCTTCACTGTCCCCGGGGCGCGCCGAGCGGACGCTGGTGAGGCGCCAGCTCACCCCCATAAAGGTCTCCTGTGTGCCTTGTAAACCAGCACTTGGAGTCCAGGTGGCGCCCAGCTGGAGGGGAGGCAGGGCGGCCTGGTGGGTCGGTCCCGCGGTTCCTAGCAGCCAGCGGAAGGGGGAAAACCCGAGGCCCCAGGAACGCTCGCCGTGGGCGGAGCAGGCAGGGGACCGAGACTGCCCCTGCTGCACGCGGCTCATTTTTCATCCCGTATCCGGGCAAGTCTGTTCTCTGCACGGAGAGTTCGGGGTCAGGCGGTTCTGCGGCTGTAGCTTGGCAGCTGCCGGGGCGCCCCGGGGAGGTGGGGCAGTTCCTCCGCGTGGCCTGCAGAGGGCGACAGAGGGCAGGCTGGCCCCATGGGTGGCTCTGACGGCGCCTCCCAGCCTCAGTTTCCCTACCTGTGAATGGGGTGAAGTAGGGCTGTGTGGTGTCCAGTGTCTGGGCGCACATAGAAGGCTCACCCTCAAGTGAAAGACCTCTGGGGCCACAGCTCCCCACTTCCAGCTCCTTTGCAGCAAGAAGGTGACCCTGGGCTGGTGGATGAGGATCAGCCTCCCACCCCAGCCCGCAGCCTCAGGACACTTGCTTTTCCCTGCTTAGTCCACAGGGCTAGGTCAGGGCAGGAAGCTACTAGCAGGTGTTTCCTACAAGCCACAGCCATGGGTGAGGGGGGCTTCCTGCCCTCAACCTGCCCACCCCGACCTGGGGTAGGGACAAGCCCAGTGCCCCGGCCCTGGGGGCTTGGCCTGTTGAGTCCCTGGTCAGCACCACCCATGGGTTGGCCTCCCTCCTCCTCGCCCCACTCCCCACCGGCCACTCCAGGGGCTCCCTGGCTGCAGCCGCATCCCCAGTGCCTCCCCAGCACTTGCCACCAGAGGGAGCTCCAGGGCACAGGTCAGACCCTGTCACCCAAGACATTCTCCAGCCTGCAGACTTGGCAGATGGACGCTTTCAGCCTGGCTAGTCCTCTGAAGTCCGTTCCCTACCCTTCCCCAACCTTGGCCTGTTTCTGGTTTTTGTTTTGAGACAGGATCTCGTTCTGTTGCCTAGGCTGGAGTGCCATGGTGTGATCACGGTTCACTGAAGCTTCAACCTCCTGGGCTCAAGCCATCCTCTCACCTCAGTATCCCAAGTAGGTGGGACCACAGGCGTGACCCACCACGTCCTGCTAATTCTTGTATTTTGGGTAGAGATGAGGTTTCACTACACTGCCCAGGCTGGTCTTGAATTCTTGGGCTCATCGCCTTGGCCCTTTGGGGGCCACGGAAGGCTCTCTGATAAGGGGCTGTTTGGTGGAGGCTGTAGGAACTGGAGGAGCCAGCGGGCAGCCCGGCACAGGGAGAGCTCTCAGATGGAGGGTGAGCAAAAGCCCCGAGGTCAGGAGACAGGATCCCCGGTGGGGAACAAGCAGCCCCATGGCCGTGGGGGCGACATGTCAGGGAGGGCAGACACAGGTTCTGTGGCCCTGCACGGAGGTGACCCACGAGGCACTGGTCAGACCTTTATTGTCCACCGCCCTCCCTCCCTAAACCCAGAACAAGCTGGTTTGCTCCCCTTGGTCTCCTGGGCCCCGCCCCAGCCTACACACAGGGACCTCAGAACTGTGGATGTGCCAGGGACCCGTGCCTGTGTCCCAGGGACCACAGTGCCTCTGCTACAGAGGAAGTTTGGGGTCCCAGGTTTGGCCCCCACAAAATGCAGCCTGGGGTGTCCCCAGCCCCAAGGGCCCTGCCTTTTACCCTCTTCCAGCGAGGCCTTGACCCACCCAAGATTTGTTCAGGGTGGAGAGGCCTTTCCCCTCAGCCTTTCCCCTCTCGTCTGCCGCAGTGGGCACCCGTTACCTCCCTCCTGCTCTCACCTCCTCTGCCTGCTCCAGTGCCTACCTGCACCCCCCACCCCTGCTTCCTGACCTCTGTCCCCAGCCTCCTGTTAGCCCGCTGCTTGCCAGTAAGGGCCGGATGCCTGGTGGTTTGATTTCGACACCCAGCCCTTCCACCCACACCCACCTCCCCCGGCCAGCAGAGCTCAGGCCTGAAACCAGCCCTCAAGGTCCTCATAGACCTGGTTGCGGGGCAGGTGCGGGTAGCGGTCACAGATGGCACAGAAGCGCTCCCGCCAGTCGGTGAAGAGTCGCACGCGCAGCCTGTCACGCCAGGCAAAGAAGCGTCGGTATCGGCTCTCATTCATGCCGGTGAGGAAAGCCGCCAGCTCTTGGGCTGAGCCAAAGTCATCCACATGTACGAAGGCGTCGGCCGGCACGAAGGCCTCGTAGGTGGCCCGTGGGGGCCCCAGCACCACCGGCACAGTGCCAGCCACAAGTGCGTTGCGCCAGAATTTCTCTGTAATGTAGTCACGGTGCTGAGAGTTCTCAAAGGACAGGTAGAAGCGGTACCGGGCCACGGTGGGCACCAGGCAGCTGGTGCACAGCGGCCGTCCATTGGCACGGCCAAAGACGTCCACCCGCAGGTGAGGCACCAGCTGCCGGTACAGCCTGGCACGCAGCTGCCGCTCCTGGAAGTTGCTGACCACCCAGGCGGCCACCCTGCTCTTGGTTGGCAGTGGTGGCAAGGGCCCCGAGTGGGGCTCCAGGCGGCCATAGGGCACAAAGATGTCTGAGTCACGCCGGTAGCTCAGCACCCAGTTGAAGATGCCTCGGAGGCGGCTGAGGCCGTGGGTGTGGCTAGGTGACTCCATGGAGGCCCACACCCAGGGCTGTCCTTGTGGCCGCTGGGCCAGGGGCAGGTGGGACCGCCGGGTCTGCAGCTCGCGGTGGTGGAAGACCACGGCGTCGGCGCTGGCCAGCAGGCTTCGGTTGGCACTCAGGTGGCAGCGGGTGATGCCGTAGCGGGTGCAGGTGTCGCCCGGCAGCTCTGGGGGCTGGTCAGTGAAGGGCCAG